GGGGGGGGGGGGGGGGGGGGGGGGGGGGGGGGGGGGGGGGGGTCCACGACGATGGGGAGGTGGGCGAGTCGTGGCGAAGTCTGTTGGGGTAGGTACTGCGGTGCTGCGTGCAGAGCTTGATCTTTGACGATTTCAAGCACGCGCCTGGCAAGAAATGACGTTCGCGCGCCGAACCCGTGCTTGTCGGAGGCATCTTGTTGAGGCTGTGTGTTTTTTGCCCCGTTCTCTTTTTCTTTTGTTTCGTGTGTGTTGCCAGGCAGCTTGTGAGACGGACATTGTTTTAGTTTTCTTCTCCGTTCCATGCACGCGCATCACGTATTTTGGTTTCATGGCGGTGTTTATTTTTTGGGTTTGCGGCTATGCACACCTTGAAGACAACATGCAGGGCTTCATTTTCAAAATGTCTCTTTAACAGTTATTTAGTCCACTGGCGGTGCCGCATCCCTGCCTTCGCCTTGTCGTTGTCGTTTTGCCTCGGTGACTGTTTTTGCGCTTCGGTTGGTTTGGCTGTCGATTTTGTCTCAATGTGCAATCTGCACCTGCTGTGACGTACCTGTAAGGGGCTCAACGACCGAGCACCTTGTAACGAACTCGTTTCCTTCGAACTGTGGTTACCGGTAGCCCAATCTCACACAACTATTTACCAACGATCGCGATTTTGAACGCATCGGCAAGTGATTTTCTTCTTGTCCTTTGTCCCTCCGATATGGGTTGCCTGTTCCCTTCCTACTGTGACCCTCCCTCCCTCTTTTTGAATGTCTCTCTTCTCGGCCTCTTGGCTCTGTATGTGTTGTGCCCCCGTCTCCCTCTTCGGCTCCCTCGCTCTCTGTCTCTCGCCGTCTCTCTGCTGTGTCTATCACTCTCGTGCCTTCCGGTGTGGTGACTTGTTGGCCCTCGCTCGGGGCGGGTTGGGGATCCTGGCGGGCTAAAACATGAACGTAACGACCGCGACGCACCCAGGGAGAGGAAGCGGCCACGAGGCCCTTCGACCTGCTCTCGGGCCACCCCCCGTCGTCCCTCCTTGGCAGCAAGGTCTCCACCCTGGAGGCCGCGAACCTCAGCAACTCCGCCATTATGGTCCGGTGGTTGTGATCGACCATCTCCTTGTGTAGGGGCGTGGGGCGACGGTTCGGAGTAACAAGACTGGAGCTTGGAGGACGGCCTCGATGTTTTGGGGCGACTCAGATGGGATGGACACCTGCCTCACAGCCTTTCCGCCGCCACCGTCATCGTTATCACCAACGTGGTGCATGCTCCGATGGTGGCTGTCGGATGGATCTACTTACATGGCATGGATGGTTGGACACACACGGAGCGACTTCTAGAAGTGGAGCGATTTTTTACACCGTCGCCGCCTTGGTATGCGGTGCGGTAGGCAGGATGCAGCGGGGTTAAATAGACGGCTCACCCCTCGGCATTTTTTTGCGCCGTCGTTTGTAGGGCCACGCCGGTGTGTGGCGAAGCGTCAACTAGCAAGTGTTCCGAAATTGGACGGAGGAACAACCAAGTGCGGGGGAAGGAGGGCGGGGGAGTGGGAGGGACGTTGGACCGAGGGACGGGGGCGGTTTGCGTCTACTGCATGAATGTACCTATTTTACCGAGGGTCCCACCACCTGGACGGACTGTTGGCTTGAGGTGAGGTGGCTGGTGGTGACCGTCGGCGTCGTTTGCCGAGCGCTGTATGATGTAGACTTGCCTTCTACGTTGCGAAACTTTTTGGGGGGCCCGTGCCGATGCAGGTAGGAATACCCTAGTCTATCCCTGTGCGTGACTACCGTACCCTGCAGAATTTTGGTAATAGCCATGATCTAGAAATAGTACAAGCAGAAGGAAATGGGGGGCTGGCGAAGGAGAAGAGGAGCCACCAGACCAGCTCTGGAGATAGGCTGAAGGATAGACGCATGTGAGATTTAGGGCGGGGGGATCGAATCGTGTCGAGCGAATTTTGCCGAGCTCCTGTCTTTTTCGTTCTTGTGTTGTTTTCTTTAGCTCCTTGGGTTGTGCGTGTTTTCCTTGCTCTTTTAGGCTGCTGCTGCTGCTGCTGCTGTGCGGCTGGCTGCTGCCGCTCTGTGTATGTGTTGCCAAGTCAAGTGGTGCAAACACATGGAAGATTCGTCGAGACTCAATTCCGGCGGTGGGCATGTTTGTCACGATGTCATTTGGTTGTTTTCTTGTTAGGAAGAGAAGGATGTAGGTTGAATACAGGGCTGAGGTTGGAAAGGGTTTTCGACGCGAAGGCAACCACAAGATGGACAGCCCGCAGTCTACGACGTGGCGATTCAGCGTTGCCACTATTAAGAGACTCGTGCTAGTGAAGAGCTGGTTCATTCGCATTATCGGCAGTATTTTCAGAAGACTTCCGAAAGAGTGCAGTTTGGGCGGGCAGTGAACGGGACGCCATTGTTGGGGTGGACGCTCAGTATCCCCTCCTGATTTTGTCGCCGTGACCGATGGGCTGCTTTGCAGGATGAGGCGGAGTATCCACCGCCAACCTGTGTGGCGTGTGGTTACAATCCATATTGGTAGATATTTCCCCCCCCACGATACAATACACTTCTCGATTCGGCTTGGACCGGTGTCTGTCGCCCTGTTTTCTGTCGCAAACAGAAGGCCTCACAGGCATCTATCTTACTACGAGCCCTTCCCGTACTGTCGTATCACACGTTGGTGGTGCATGCCCGATCAAGACCTCTCCGACCAAGTCCTTCTACGGAAACTATGCCCAGGGTGTTGGTGGCCCACGGGGTCTTCGAACACCCCGAGCCTGGGGAGCAAAATGAATGGTTCTCGATTAGGGAGGGAGGCACCATTTCAGCTATGTTGTCGTTTCTTACAAGAAAGATAGGACGAACAATGCCGACACCCACCCGTGCCCGTACACTGGGTGAAGGAGGGGTTGGGTTAACACGTACTCAGCCCACGGTCGTAAGCCCTCTACTGGTACTACAGTCGTCCCCGCTGCAGGCGTTCGCTCAATGTTTTTTCTCAACAATTTTCCACTTACATGGTACCCGCGCGTTTTTTTACTTTTGATTCTGCGGAGAACCAACCACTGGAGTACACGGGACTACTAGTATGTCCTTTTGAAAATTGCGGACGACTGGACCTACTCACCCCCTAGACAAAACGAGCCACTACATCGACATGCAAGGAAGCTTGTGTCGCCATGACCTATAGCCAGCAAGCAAGGTGAAACGGCGTGTTTGCTCCGACCTCCGCAACCACAACGCTCAACGTTTTTTGGCCATTGGCACCGACTGATTCTTCACGTTTTTCTGGTCAAAAGCAGGTGGTGGACTCGAAGTGATGCTGACATTGAAGTCATTTTCAACTGATTAGACTACAGCTCACGATCTACAGCCAGCCATTAATGTGCCATCCTGGCGATCGCTACAACATAGCTCGCCCTGGTACACCACCTGGATATCGACCACGCAAACCATGGGCGACTCTGGATGCGCTTGGACCATGCCGCAGTCCGATTGTCTTTCTCACATGCGATAGATACAAAACAAGAATAATGTCAGCTGGAAACGCGCCTCTCCTAACTCACCGACCACGCCATCCACCCCCAAACGTGGGCCATGCCCAGAGGTCTGCGTCAACATGGTACTTGCCGTACAGAATCGTTTTTTTTAACCCGCGTTGATGTAATGTTCTGAGTTAAGTAATGGAACTTCCCACAGCATGTCACTCCTACCATTGACGCCGCGATACCGCTTCTACTTCCACCTGCACACGCCAAGTACACGCAAGGTGAGATGATCACACTACCTTCAACGCCACCTTTTAGTTTTCTATGTCTACGGGGAACAGCTGATTCTTCACTACAGCACACGACTCCACTGGCGTATGTTATGCCCTCCACCCATAACACGCGCTCGCACACGTACTTCAAGCACTCGCTAGCCCACACCTCGAGGGAAGCCGTAGGTCTGCTGAGCGTTACTTCCCCACACCCCCACCTGAACATAGGAAAAAACACCACGGAGAGTGTTGAATTTCGAACGCATTTACAGAGACTGCGAGTTTCTCCGACTAAACTTGCACTGCGACCAAAAGCAAAAAATAAGACTGATAACGCCGCAGCAACTAACAGGGCACGCAACGAAAACCGGCAGAGTCCATGACAGAAGGGAGATCTGTCGAGCCGAGCAATTGCTTCTCTTTCTATCGCCGGCGCACGCCAAAACTACATTCAAAGCAAATCAAGGTTATGAAACCACAAATCAAAGCTCCTTCCTTCATGCAACCACGCTTCTTTACGAGTACGTGCACTTTCTAACAGCAGGGTCGAAGAGCGACCGCTGCACCGCACATTCTATCACAAACAACATGCATTCTAATATGCTCTCGTCTATTTTGGCAGGGCGCGCGGGCGTGCGGCGCGCTCGGG